AAACATTCTATGATTCTGTGATATTCATTAATTTTCCCTCCTCAGCCTCTGGCCATGATTGCACATTCATCAGGCTCATGTCCTTTTGGCACATAGCTCAGAAGCAGGGTACCATTGACTAGTGTAAAAATTTTCAATGTTTATCAGTAGTCTGGGGATTTAAATTTATAATTGTGATTTCATATGATGTGCAACTTCATATGGAAAAACCTCTTTAGTTTTTCAGTTTGATTGAGAATATGTTAATCCTTTTTGTTTCCATTATTTTCTACCATTATGTTGGATAATAATGGCTTTGTTTAATTTGTGTGACATTAATTTTTGGGGAAAACTGACATGCGATAGTATGGTAAAGCAAAACTTGCTTTGTCCAGGTTGACATTTTGGCTCTGGCTGATTTCTGTATTAGCTGATGTTTACAGAGAGACAGGAGAGGAATTCATCTTGGTTTTGAGTGTAGATGTATGGAAAAAGCACTGTTCATTTATGCCATGCATTCAGATACATTTTTCAGTTTGCAATATTCAAAAGAAATTTCAGGATTTTGGGAGAGAGTGAAACAGGGTTATTTGTCTGTACAGATTGATTCGTTATGTTATCTTTTTCCCAGAATTTGGGATTTCTTTTTCTGTCTTTAACACATCTGTATATGATGATCGTATTTCACAGACTCATTGAATAAGCTTAGAATTAAAGTTTGCTAGTGAATTAAAGCTAGAAGTGGGTTGACTGATTATTCCTTGTAACTCTCAAATAATGGAATTGATTGATGCTGCCCTTTAGTGTGACCCAGTGTGACACCACATAATTATGTGGCATCAATACTCACAAAAATAAGAAGATGGCATCCTGAAGATGGGAATGAGGAAAAACAGGATAATGGTAGAGGAGGGCTCATAGAGACTGTCTGCAACAGGCTGGTGGTGCTTTTATCATTAAGCTGGAAAGCACAAATGAAAGGATTACATTAGGAACCTGTAAAGATTTCAGCCTGTCACTGTTGGTGCACGCCTGTCTCTCATTCTCCCAAATACAGTGTTCCTGCATATGTCTGTGTTTGCCTCCAGCTCAGCACTCCGCTCTTTTTCGGTGCCTTTCATCTGCTGCGAATGGCTTCAAAGTGGCTGCTGACCAGCAGGTTGTCTCGGTGCAAGGCAAGGTCTCCTGTCTTCCACTGAGATCTCAATTGAGCTTCCAGCTACTGATCTGCTCAACCACCAGGTGCAAGCAGCCACTGATGTCTGATAGTTAATAAGCATTTGCTGCTAATCAGCTACTGCAAAATGCATCTAGGGCCAGGTACAGCAGTGGCTCAGTAGCAGCAGCTGATCAGAGGTCTTGGAAATAACTGGTTTTCTCCTGGGAGGGGAACAGAGATAGGGCTAGTTAATTGCCCGGTGGTAGCTGTGATTTGAAACACTGATTGTCTGTGGTTACCAGTGGTGATCTTCTAATTCCAGCGTAAATGGAGCAGCACTGGTGATCTGGAGCTGGGACCAAGTAGAGAACTTCATGGTTTAAAGGATACTGAGCAAGCTGTAAGCAATGAACTTGACTGCACGCCATGAACACCAGACACTGAGCAGGTTCTGCTTACCTACCAGCTTTTGTCTGACGAGATAGGAACAGGGACACTGCTTTGGTATAGTGTTCTCTGCTCTCCATTTTACACCTTGTCTTTGCCTTCAAAAATTCCCAGGCCAACTGTCTCTGGGCTACCCAACATGCAAAGGTGAGCTAGTCCAGTGCTGTCCTTGTGGGCTGCTAGGCCAATAAGAGGCAACCTTTCTGGGCTGTCACTCTGGTCTCTCTTGTACAGAGAAGGGAGGCAAATTCTCACCTACCTAATGTAGCAGGATGCATCTGGTGGTGTGGCTGTGTGTTGATTGGGCTTGCCATAAAACACAGAAAGGACAGATTGAGCAAGGACAGATTGAGCTAATATATGGTACAAGGGCAGGATAGCAATTAGATGAAAACTGTTTGCAGCCTTGTGTTTCAGTTTTGGTCTTCTGTGGCAAGGTCTAACATTAACTTTCACACCTCTGGCAGACAAGCTTTGTGCTATCTAAAATATTACGTCAAAAATCCTCTGTGTTGACACTCTAATTGGAAGGATGTTTTTCTCTAAAAACTAGCAACTGCTAAGAGGCTCAGAAGAGTAATTCAGGCTGTTACCTGCACTTTATTCTGCGGATGCCCTTTTACGTACTATAAATCCTAACCTGCCCAAAGGAGCTCTTTAAATTGTGTTATGAGCTTAGTTTAAGTCAGTTTGACATTCTTTGAACAGAAGTATTATGTGAGGTTGATGGTCTGTATTCTTGTACTTCAGCTCAGAACTTGAAATTCATCTCTGCCCAAGCACACGTGGTTTAAAATGCTTTGCAAATGAATATTTTATTAGGTAGCTGTGGCCAATTGCTGCAGGATGGCCTTTGATAAGCTTCGTAGCCAAGTGGCGTTGGCTGTGTTGGCAGAGCCCTCTGGTGGGAGCTCAGCCTGTGCCAGCAGCAATTGGTCCTGCGGGCAGTGCCACCCGCTTCTCCCAAACACCATCAGCCAGACCTCTCTGGGCTCTGTGGTATCCTACCAGCTGACAGCTCAAGTGGTCAAGGGGCTCCTCTTTATCTCACAGAGCCCATGGAGTGCACTTGGCTGATGGTGTGCTGTAAGTGCTTATATAATTTTAGGTGTTGATTTGCAAAAAAAAAAGTACTGCTTAGTAAAAGTAACTGACTTAATTAGACACACAGTGGGACGTTTCTAAGTCAAGAGCCACAGTCTTCCATTTCTGTTGGTCAGTAATGCTTCTGCTAATCAAGGTAGTTGAAAAAAGGGCTTTTGTGTTTTAAAATTCCAACTTACTGAGCGTGAAGGAAAAATGTTATTATACTTGTCTAACCTAATAGTATTCAAACCAGAATGTGCAAACAGTTCTTGTAATCTGGTTAGATCCCTAAAGTGTTGATATAATGCAGGCCAATAACTCCACTGCAGGAAATCCAGATGTTTGAGATTGTTGCACAAGTAATGCAGTAGTAATAAAGGGTCTTTTTTTCCTCCTCACATGCTAGCCAGAGTTTTTCTATTGATTTGAAGCACTCACAACTGTGCACAGTATTTTATCTTCATTAAAATAAAAAAAGAGGAATATGTATCATAGCTTAGAAAAGGCCTGTGGTGGTCAGAACCCCTTTCTGATGAAGTTGGAGAGTGGTGGCAAGTCAAAGGCAGTCATATTTCTGTCATTTTACTTGTTTTTTGATGAAATTTTTTCTTACGAGAGACATACGAATTCTTTCAAAAGCTAAATTAACCTTCATGGCCTGTATTTGAAATGCCATTTCACCTTTGCTTTGAACTTACCTACTCCATCACTGGGGTACAGCAACATAGAACTGCTCTGTTAAGAGACCCATCATGTGAGAGGCAGTTGCATGGTGGAACTCCTTGCTTCAGGTTGTTGTGAATTCCCAAAGTTGAACATGTTTCAGAAAGCAGTTAAACACACTTGTTAAAGGAGGAATCACCAGTATGATGAGATGCAGATACTGCCTTTGAAAATTCCCTAGCTACATCCAAGGGAATGGGGCAGAAGTGCATGGCTATATGTACTCACTCTCTTCCTCCTTACCCTTGGGTGAAGGCAGGATGCTGAAATAAACGGGGCTGCTTAAGCAGAGGGCTGGTTTTGTGGTTCATGTCACCCTCTGCTGTTAACTGGAGGAGCTGTGATGAGGGGAGTACCAAGCTCTTTTCGATGGATGAGGACTCACCCTCCTTCTGCAGCCTAGAGATGTTCTTTGTTGAGGGATGTTGTTTTCAGATGAACCTTCCAGCTTACCTGCAGTCTTATCTGGCATTTTCCATGGTCGAGTGGCTTTCCTCACCTGTAATGAGTTTCACTGGAGACTTATTACAATTACACATAGGAGGCAGCACAAAGGTTTTTATTTCTTGCATGATAGCTTCTTCTTCCTGTTTTTTTAATAGCGTTGTGGTTAGAGGCTTTAATTCTCTGGCAGATGGTAATGCAGTATGTTTTTCAAGCCCTGTACCTTTTGACTCTAGGATATACCCTAGATATACCTCTAGGATATACCCTTTACTCTGTGACTTTATAAAGCTTCTAAAAAGCTAGTTTCAGCATTGAAATTCCCTTCCATTTTTATTGCAGAATATCCTCATGATTCAACTTTGTAGAATACTGTTTTACTTCTATAGGTTATTTTATCCCATGCTCTTTTTAATATATTAACATGCAGTTTTAAACCTGTGATGCAACAACCCCTGTGAGTTGTCTATTTTTACTCAGAATTTCAAATGTAAATGTTGCTTTAACATTACTATTGGTTATCTCTAATCTCGGTCTCAAAACAAAATCTGTTGGAGAGTTCGTCCTCTTTTGTCTGTGCTTTTATTTCAAATGTAATTTTTGTATTTTCAAATGTGGAAAGTGGCTGATGATATAATATCTGTGCTGGGTTGTTTTTTTTTTTTTTTTAGTAATCCTTGCTCTTCTAAAGAACTTGGTAAAGTCTAATATTACCATTCAAATAGGCAGGTGAGAGCTTTTGGTGATCAGTAATTTGTACCTTTTCAAAAGCCGCACTGCCTTGCTTTGTCTTGGAATTTATTATGCTTCCCAAGTATAATGTGACATACTGAATAGGGCAGGGGGTGGGGACATTGTCTTCAGCTGACATGCTGTTATCAGCGGGACTGTGTTTCTGGACACAAGATTTCGCAGTCATTGGTTGTCCGAAGAAAGCCTTTCCATCTGAGGATTGGACAAGAAGATGCGTCAATTTGCTGCCCGTCTCCAAGGTACTGGTGATGCTGCCTCCACAAGCTGGCTAACGTCACAGCTCCATCACCCAGCGGGGTGTGGGCTTTTTTCTCCTCTTCTCTGTTTTAATTCTGTATTTGCTTCCTACTGCATTTCTTAATCTGTCTTCTGCCAAATGCTAACAGCATGATATTTTGCAATCATTTAGGTGAATACAAGAAGGACGAACTCCTGGAAGCTGCTAGGTGAGTGCTGCTTAGAATATAAAGCATATTTTGGGGGTGGAAACAGGCGAGGAAAAGGGATTTTTAAAATAGTAATGTTTTGTCATTGCCTTTCCATGAAATGATGCAAGCAAGCCACTTCATTAGCATAAATCTCTTCAGACTTTACAGTCTGGTACAAATATAAAAGCCTGTTTATGTAATTGAAATCCCCCACTATGGTGGTTAGAAGGTTAATATTGAGTTTTTGCTTTAAGCTGCTTAAATCCTCTTTATCGTTTTGTGACTGTTCTTTTTAGGGGCAATTTAAATATTGGAATATTTCTTTTCTTTTGGTTTTTACTGCTGCCATAGGATGTATTTTGAAAATAAGCTTTATCAGAACAGAGCATATGGAAGCTTATACAAAAGGTGTAAAGTTCAGTCATATATTACAAACGTGCTTTTCATCTTTCCTTCTGACTGCACAAGACCATTTTATATAGACTGTTAACCCTTCTGAAAAATTTCTGGGTATTGGTATGTAGTTGTTTCAAATGTTATGGGCCATATGCTATGAAAATATGTTAAATCCAGAACATTTATTCCAGCAAATGGCTTTCAGAGGATCTGTAAAATTAGATAAAGGAAATATAAAATGAGGCTAAGGAGAGAAATCGAGGTGTTTGTGCGTGATCTTTTGTAATACATTTAATTGCAAATTTAGCATTCTTTTCAGTATTTACCCTTGGTTTTGAAATGTTCGGAAGATTCTTTAGCCATCTGTCATTCTCCCTGGCAGAGTACAAATTTCAATATATTATACTTTGCAAAATACCTGCTAAGGATCAGGATATCAAAGAGCTCTGTCCTTTTTTCCCCCCCTTTTCCACAATCTTCTCTTCTCCATTTACAGGAGTGGTAATGAAGAAAAACTGATGGCTTTACTGACTCCTTTAAATGTGAACTGCCATGCAAGTGATGGGCGTAAGGTAAGTTAATGCCTGCATCGTGTTTCAGTTGTTCAAGAAAGACCAATTTAAGCATATTGGTAAGCATAGGTGTATAAACCAAGAGAGTGTATGAGGGAAAAACCTGTGATGCCTTTTCACCATAAAATTAAATGCTGTTATACTTGACACTGGCAGTTGTGACAGTCAGCAGACATGGAGTCTGTGTGTGTCTTTTAAATGTCAAACCCTGGTGTACATGTAAAAGGAAACTTTAAGACCTTTTCTAAGAAAATGGAAAATATACTGTTTCAGATGAATAAAATAACTAAGGAAGGAAAGTTATTGCTTGTATTTGAACATTGAGTGAGGTGGTTGATATTCGGCTTTGCTCCTAATGCCCTGCCACATAGACTAGCACTGTATTGCTATGCTTAACACCTTCTGCATTTTCTTAAATTTGACGGTATTGTTTTGACTTTCTCTGGCAGGGATGTTTGAATGAGTTAAATTAAGGATTAGGCTGAAACTGGAGGAGGGAAGAACATACGGAGTGAGAAGCAGATCCTATGATTTTTGATGTTTTAGACATGAAGATGATTGTCTAGACTGTTGGATTTACAAATGTTGGTTATTTTTATTTTTTTTTTTTACTGTGTACCAGAATATTCTTAATAGTCATTTGTTAAACAAGTCTCTCACATGTAACAGTACCTCTCACTTTTGGAGAGAAAAGCATAGGAGTGTTTTCTTTTATAGTTTTCTTTATTTTGGTGAAGCATGTTTAAGCATAGTATAAACCTCTGCCCATTCTGGAGTTGTTGTGGAACAGCTAAGTTCCACTGAAATCAATGAAGATAGGCCAGTTTATGCTTCCTTTTGATTAAAAAGTACATTGTTGCTGAATATAAATAATACAACTCCATTGTACAGAAATTCCTGGTTTTTTTCACATATTAAAATGTTTTCTCAGTCGTAATGCCTATGATACATACTATGTGACAGAAAACCCAGCCAGTTTTTTGCTTGTTTACACTTATCACTCATTGAAAGTTTATACATCTTTCAGGTTTTGAAAACAATTAATTTTATGATTTCAGGATGGGCAAATGAACAAGGGCTTTATTTAGTTTAGCAGTATTGGAACTGATAAAACACCTCCTATGTTATAAGATTAAACATATTGCCCATATTTGTTCAATTTCTTTTTTTAAAGACTTTGACACTCAAATAAGAATGTATTTAGGTGTTAATAGTGCACTGTGTTATAATTAAATGTGGTGGAATACAGCAGTGTGTTACTGAGTAATTGAGTCCCTATCACTATTGATCTAAGGCCAAATGCAGAGTTATGACTTCTGTCAATAGTGTGAGGGATAAGCCCTTGCAGATGTTATCTTGAATACTTCTCATTTTAAATTAAAAATTATTAAAAAAATGAAGCTTTTAAAATTCATATTAAGCTAGCAGAAAATATTTATGTATTATTGCAGCCTCTGAATTAGTTTAAAAATTTATACCCAAAGCTTAGAAAGCATATTGCAGTTAAAGCTCGTGAGTATGGACACTCTGAAAATATGGTTTTGTGTTTGGTTGTTGCTAAATGCACTGGTTATTGAAACTCCTTTTAAGATGGCTTGCCATTGATATTAATTAGCTTTTTTAAAATTATGTCCACCAGATGTATTTTTTCCCCCACCATATGTGTACAAGCTGTGGAAGGTGAAGTGACGCTCTGTAGCAAGTGTGGTATATAACTGTTAAGTATTTAATTTCTAAACCAAAGCTTTCAGGTCCTGTGCTAGTGCAAGATCACTTAGTGTTTAATCATTTTAAGCTGTGCTGCAAATTAAGGGAACCTTTCAGCACAGCATTCTTGTAAATGAAAGTCTCTGCTGGTGTAGCTGCCTCTAGTTGACCTATAGTGATTCACGCTAGCTGAGAATTTTCTGTAACTTTTTGCATTCCTTGATGCTTTTTGTAATTATTTTTTAAGATCCTCTGCGTATTCAAGCCTCAAACTTAGGACACTGTAGGGCCACAGAATTAATGCAGCTGTCAGGGCCAGGAAGTGCAGACGCTGCGGATTGGCCTGAGATTCTCAGCATCATGCTTACTCTGCAGCACAGCTATACCCACAAACTCCTTCTCCAGTTTGTGCATTCCTTGGTTTTCTGAGATGTCCAGCACTGTTGTGAAACATTTAGCTTCGTGGGTGAAGAAATTAAGTTGAGTTCCAGTACAGTTTTTCTGTATTAGCAGGTGGTGGTAGGGATTTCCTTCATACTTTAGGTGCAATTGTATGTAGTTTACCTTTTTTCCCCTCCCTCCCCCACCCCCTGGGGATTTTTTCTGTGTCCCATGTATACCAACATCTGGAGTTCTGGATTTATCAAATATCACATGTGCTGTGGGGTTGTGCTTCATAGAACAGGTAAGAGAGGTGGAAAATTCTGACAGTATCTTGCTGGTTTGAAATCAGCTCAGGATGGAAATAAAAAAGACTTATTGCATTCTAGGTGCTGCTTGTAGCCTTTTTTAAAAGTATTGACAGCTAGAGTCTGATTCCTATTGGACAGGGTTCCTTGCAGCTAAAAGAGTTACAGCTGGTGCTCATAACCATTGCTCCATGTGTTTATTTAGCATAGAGGTCAAAGATGAGTAGGAATGAAAACTGAACTTCCTTCTTCCCCTCCAAGTCACTGTTCAGATAGATTATGGGCACTGTAGAAATGCTCACGTTACTGAACCTCCTGAGCTGTTGTCTGAAGAGGGGATTTATTCTCTGTGTCTACTCTTGCAGTTATTTTCTGGAGTGAAAAATGAAGGAGTGTGTGCAAAACAAAGAGCAATTTTATTTGTCAGCTAAAGCATTCCTGCGTACTGAGGATCTAGGTAATTTGTGGGGGTTTGTTTTGAAGACCAAGGAAAATCAACAATAGTATCTCAGGAACAGTGATTTCACTGAGCTGGGTAATGATTGAGTTTTTGAGTAAGAACTGGCTTATATGCCTGTTGAATATATATGAGGGCACAAATAATAGTGCACAAGTGCTGAGCTATATAGTACAGTGTGTGTAAATGAGTATTGTACAAAGCTAAAATTTCACGAAAACTATTCTTTTGAAATTGTCCTATTTGCTTTTTAAAAAGCAAGGCTTGAGCTGACATATTATTATATTTTTTCATTACAGTCTTGCTTTGATTTTCTTTTTTTAAACAGGAAACTGAAAACTCACAGAATTGTTAGGATGTGGTGGTGTATTGCAAAATTGGTGTGTTACATCACTTTTGTTCACGTTGCTTCGCAAAGTATTTGCTCTGTCAAAGCAGAACTTACACAAAATGCATGGCACCTGTGTATTACTGATGGGTTGGAAATTTCACTGTGTCCTGCCTGTGAGCTCTGCTAGACTTTTTGGTCTTTACATAATCTATAGAAGTAGTGACTTTTCAAAGACAGGCTATAGTGTTAAAGTTAGATGATGGTACTGAATTTCATAATGTTAAAAAGCCAAGGCACCTATTTATGTGTCTATCTATGTAAAGGTGTATAGGCTTTACAGCCCCTGTTATTTTCCCTCAAATATTTTTCTCTGGGGATGTCTTTTTCAAGACTCAATTGTGAGTGAATTTTCAAAACCTGTTTTTTGACTATTTTAAATCGCCAGGTTTGTTTCTACTGCTGGAAACTAAAGCTGTATTATTTTGTCATAGGAGCTGCATTTCTGACTTTTTACAACAGTCTCTGCTTACCTAATTCAGTAGGCAAGAGACAGATTTAAAATCGAATATGTCATGGTTGCAGGTTGAGTAGAAGCTCTTAGCTCTCTCATTTCCTTTGGAAAGCTGTTGTGAACACTTGAAAGGTGTTTCAGGAAGAAATTGATGTTGCCTCCATTTTAAAAATGCAGAAGCATCTGAGCTAATAAGGAAGCATTGGGTTTAGCAATTCAGATGAGAACCCTTTTCTACAAGATAAGTCTTCCCACATTAGTCTTGATAGCTTTCCAAAGTGAACTACCAGCTGACATAGTAGCTATTAGCAATAGGAGGTTGGGTTTTTGTTTTGAAGTTGGATTTTTGCTGGTATATAATATGCCGTGCCCGTACTGCATTACACATGCTCAGATCATGCTGGCACTAAAGTACTCAGATGTCAGTTGAATAAAATCTTTTCTTCTTGCAAGAGAACCCAACTGCTCCAGTTGTTACTCAAAAAAACAGTTTGTTTGGTCCTCTTCTCAAGGTTCATCTCGTGAAGCAGTGCAAATACCTGATATTTTGAGCTCTTTGGAGCATAAAAAAATTATTATTTTCAAAAATAAAATGCATGCTTCATACTTTACTTTGAAGTTTCCATTGATTTGTTGGAGCTGCATTTTGTTGTTTACATTTTGGATCAACCATGTGAAAAACAAAATACAATAGCATTACCTGTGATAGCTTGGTCTTGGGTATTAGTTCATCTTGAGGCAGGAATTACTACCAGAAGGCAGCACAGAATGCAATTCCTCCACAGGTACATCATCTTTTTTCTTGCACTTTCCCTCATTACCTCGCTCCTCAGAAACTAGGAATGTAGACATTTCTGCAACAAGTGAATCAGGGATCCTGCAAACAATGCACCTCAGTTTTTTCAAGCACGGGACCATCCAGCACTGTGGATAAGGTAGTGATCCCATGAAAGAAAACTAATAACTTATTAATTAAAAGGCCATTTCTAGCGTGCATGTGGTCCTGCTTCACTTAATTTCACTGTGGTCTTCTGACTTGTAGTGCCCCATTCTTTGTTTATTGGCAGTTTTCAGTCATTAACAGTTCCCAGTACCAGTCCTTACTTACTTGGTATTATGCCTCTGCAATGCCTTTGTTGTCATGCCTTTCCAAACCAGCTGTAGACAACCCTGGATCCAGAATATCAGGATCAGGCCTTTTCATTAAACTTTGTAAGTTGTAGGAGACATACTTGCCTCTTGGGTTTGGGTGAGGCTGTTTCTTCAGACCATTCCTGCTTGCCGTAGAGATGTTTATTTTTCTCA